TTAACATTTAAACCTCATTATGATTTATACTTTTAAATTGTATTTTATGGTTACAGGTAAATATTATCTTTGTGATGCTGCATATACCAATACTCGTGGATTTATGACCCCCTATCGCAATACAAGGTATTGGTTAGCAGATTTTCGACGCCGACGTGCCTTGACTAAGGAAGAACGGTTCAATCATGCACATGCACAACTTAGAAATGTCATCGAGCGTGCATACGGGGTCTTGAAAGCAAGATTTCTAATTTTAAGACAAATGGCTCCTTACCCTTTCCCGATACAAAAAGATGTAGTGATTTCTTGTTTTGCAATTCACAATTTTATAAGGAGATGCAATATTCATGATCAACTGTTTATGGAGTATGATGAAAACAACATGTTTACTATGGAAGACCAAGACGAAGGAATTGAGGAAGAAAGCATCGAGGAAGATGTTGAAGAAACACAATGGGGTCCCCAAGGCAATAAATATATGACTGATTTGTGTGATCAGATTGCAAATCAATTAATGTTGAATGCTTGAAATTAATATTTGTAAGCGAACTATTTGTACGCAAACAAWTATGTTAAAGACTTGTAATGACTTTTTGTTCGTTGTTGATGGTTTGTTGTTGTTTCCTTTGTTGGTCCTTATTTTAATAGTGGTTTTGCTTTTAGAAAATTTGACTTTTTGTTCTAAATTATGAAATTCGGTAATATGTTAATATATTGAGTATCAATATATTTTCATAAGCAAAAAAGAATTTGAAATTATATTTAAATTTTTTGATAAATAACATTTTATGTTAGCTCTTAATACAATACATATGGTAAACAATAATTTTCAACCAGCACTTACTCCAGAAAGAGGGACATAATAGTCTTTTTGACATAATCAACACTTAATACAAAATGTTTGGTAAACAAGAAAATCCAATCAGCACTTACTCCAGTCAGACCTCTTACTACAGTCAGACCTCTTACCCCAATCAGCATTTAACCAAAAATGTTGGTAAACGGCCCCTAAAGTACAAAAAAAAAGCCAAAAATGATATTTAATAGACAAAAAGGGAAAACATAAAAAAACTAAAATACCCCCAGTTAAATTAAGGATTTTTAACAGATTTAGTCTTAAAAACGAAAATAATAATAAATAATAAATCATAGAAACGAAAACAACAATAATTTACAAACCATATGAACGAAAATAGAAAATTTTAAACCTTAGAAACGAAAATCACAATTTCAACCATAAGGGTGGTGCCTGATTGGTTTGAGCTTGACTCCAAAGGTCAAAAATACCAGGAGGTACCAGGTTCAAATCCAAGGAGATATAAAAATTCTCTTGTGGCCACGGAGGTTCAAATGCGGTGACTTCGGGCTATCTGTAAAACAGATGATCGTCCTGGGATTAGTTGGCTCGCATAACGGGTTGAATATCCAGGTTAATCAAAAAATAAATCACAATTTCTTTTACAAACCACGAAAACGAAAATCATAGTTTCATCAATAGTTCATTAATAAACGTTGACGTTTTAAGCTCCGTAAACTGATTAACAACCAACTCGTGTAACACGTTTGATTTTAAATGTCAAATAAACATTAATTCCAAATAATAATACATAATCTTTATTAACAAAAACAAAATAATATCTTTATTGTTAATTTAAAATATTTAAATTACAATAAAATTTTGATTTGGACAAATTAAAAAAAAAAACAAAAGAAATTTACGATATTTAATTTGATACACATATCGTACATCTCATTGTCGTTTTTTAAAAATAGAAAATAGTGAGGACGCATGTATATCGACCTAAATTAGGTCTTTCAATTAAAAATTATATTAAAATTAATTTTAAATAAAAATGGTGGAAGACGACAACTGCATCAAAATACTAAAAGAGGAGTAGGCTTTTAGCATTTTGTGTTGAGAAAGATCATAGCTGGAAAGTCTATCGAGCTTTTATGAATCTAATACACTTTTTGTTTTCTCATGCTATTTAATGAATCCATATCTCCAACCTCCTCACCAAGACTCCTCCTCATCACCTCTTTCAGGTGAGCCTTCCTCTGTTGCTTCTGTTCAACCAAGAAATTGTTGAGATGTTTCGTCTTGTTAGGTATCATCTTGACGATTATGAAATGGGTTTTAATCCCTTAAGATGCAACAATCTTAAAACCCATTTCCTATGTGTTCTTCGCACTTGGAAGAAAACCTAGAAAAAATCCCCATTTTTAGATTTGGAGAACTCTTGAGATTTCTTGTTCTTGATTTAGATTTTGATGATAACTACTGAGTTGAGATCAAATTGGGTATTTTCTTAAACACCAGCTTTTTTGTATTTCCCACTCATTCGAACCATCTAATATTTCAAAAAAATATCACTTTCGGAGGGGACTGTTTGCTGTTCTTTTTCATATTCTGATCACAGTGGATCTCCTATTCCAAATATACAAATGTGTAAAAATTGGGACTTCGTAAGTTCCAGGCCTGTTACCTATTTGGAATGCAATTCTTCAACAGATTTGCAAGATGATCACCATATCTGGTTATGATTTACTCTCAGTTTGACCCTTTCTTCTTTGCTTTTCATTTCAAAGTTTTCTTATGCTTGCCAGCTTTCTGTTTCTGTAATATGGACCATTCAAGAAACTCTTTGTATTTTAAGATGTTCTAAATTTGTCATAGTCTTGCCTAGATTAATTCTGCTTATGCACACCAACTGTTTGTTTTTATGTGATAAAACAATTAGATGGAGCTTTTAGTAGTTAATTTCAATTTGTATGGTCCATAGATCGCCATCCTTCCTTTTGTTTTCTTCCTCGCTACACGTTGAAAAGGGTTATTTCTTAGAGCATCTCCAATCGTACGCCAAAATAGCGTCTTTGACGTTCTCTAAACTCTAACCGGCCGGCAAAGAGAACTGCTCTTTTTGCCGCAGATGGGAGAGAAACTGCAAATACGCCGGCCTCCCGTTCAAATGGCATAAAACTGCATTTTTGGTGTCCCTGGTCCCACGAATTTGCAGATTCAGTTTTCTCATACTAAAAAGGATCCCAATTGAGATTTGTTTGATTTTGACCCTTTGGGTGATTAGCCCATCGAATTTGAAGATTGAAAACATTTATGCAAAGATGCTGTTTCCACGACTCAAACAAATTGGGGGTATATGATAACTTCAAGTTTTAGGTCTATAATAAATGCAAAATGTCAATTAGTAGTTCCTTTTTCCAATGCGTAGTCTTTTTCGTTTGTTTTTAATTGGGTATGGAGGGACGCCCATCTTTCACATCACCATGGTCCATTTTTTATAACAAAGACTGGTTATTTTTCTATGGCTTAAAAGATACATCTGCTTATAATTAATTATACATATCTTCTTGTATTATAATTGCAAGTTGAGCAAAAGCTTTTGTTATTCAGCAAGATTAACTTGTTTTACTTGAAAATTAAGTTGGCAGATCAAAAAGGCTCATCTTTAGCATGACCTTATCAATCTCCGGAAATTCTACAACTTTTCGGATTTGATGGGATGCTTTCACTCCAAGAACGTTAACCATACCCCCGGGTATGAAGATCCTGCTCTTCTTGCTGATGAAACCCCATGTGAGTTCTTGAATCTATCGTTTTTGAATCAAATGACTTGCACATTTTTGTCTATTTGATTTAGACTACCATATTGCCTCTTTCTGCCATGGTTATGCTTAGATGGAGCTTCTTAATACGTACTGTGAGAATATGTGGAACCCCGTTAGATTACTCTCCAGGAAAATGGTTCCGGGCAACGCGACTATTCCACATATTCTCACATGGTATCAGAGGGTCTATCACTCTAGTGGAAAACACTTTGGGGCAATCTGTCTGTCTAGCCTTTGTTGGAGGGGGCGTGTTAGAGTCCCACGTCTGCTAGACTTGGACCGTTTCTACTCCATGTTGGAAACTCCCTTCTCTCCTTAATGGCTCTTTTGGAGAGTAATCCGATACGGTTCTACATATTCTCACACTTACATATCTAGTGATCTTGAATTTTGCAGTCACTGTGAGTGAAGTTGAGGCTTTGTATGAGCTTTTTAAGAAGTTGAGTAGCTCCATTATTGACGATGGGCTCATCCACAAGGTATTATTCGGCAAGTGATACTGATCTTATCTTAGTCTTCAAACATATACAGTAGATTGAGTGCTAAATCCTTTTTGCAAATATCATATTCAGGAGGAATTCCAGCTTGCACTGTTCAGGAACAGAAACAGGCGAAATCTTTTTGCAGACAGGGTATGAAATGATCACGAACTATAATTTATAATATCATGTATTATAAATCTACTTGAAAGATTTTTTCTGTTTTACTAAAGAATATTAAATCTGTATTGTAGATATTTGATCTATTTGATGTGAAACGTAATGGAGTTATCGAGTTTGGAGAGTTCGTTCGATCATTAGGTGTTTTTCATCCAAATGCACCCGTAGAAGAGAAGATTAAATGTTAGTTTCCTCGATCGATACGTTTTTGAGATCATTGATGTCTAATTTATGCGGTTTTCTTGTATTCTGACATTAAACTCTTTTCGACAGTTGCTTTTAGGCTATATGATCTCAGGCGTACTGGTTTTATTGAAAGAGAAGAGGTTGGTATTATTCACTTGTTCTTGATGATGAAGCCACAAATTACCAAAATATACATTGTGTTAATTATCTTTTCGTGCAACAGTTAAAGGAGATGGTAATAGCACTCTTACATGAGTCGGATTTGGTAATTTCAGAAGACGTTATAGAAATGATAGTCGATAAAACATTTAGCGACGCTGATACGAAAGGGGATGGAAAGATAGATGATGAGGAATGGAAGCAATTTGTAGCAAAGAATCCATCTCTCATAAAGAACATGACCCTCCCATACTTGAAGTGAGAATTCAAAATTGTCCCATTTTTCTTGATCTAAAATCTACGAGACTCCTACATTGGCTAGATTTGTACTATTGAACGATTTATCTTCAATACATGTTGGAAGCCCTCTTGATATTAGAGTGAAGGTCTACCATTTGGGACATCTGTCCCCGAGGGGACTTGACACTCTTGAGACATCTGTACCCATCTAGCCTCCAATGGAAGGCACATATAGGAGTCCCATATCAGCTAGATTTGGGATCTTTTGAAGAGTAATCTGATGGGGTTCCACATGTTTTAACAAACGCAATCTTTTGTTTATAGATTGGGAATAAAAGTTTTCAAATATCTGCAGGGATATAACATTGGCGTTTCCGAGCTTTGTTTTGAGCTCTGAAGTAGAAAACTTGGAAACCTGAGTTTGTCGAAAGCAGGGAAACATGGAGGAGTTATAGAACGAGCTCGGGGTATGGGTTCGATGGGGAGCAAAAGGAGGAATCCAATGCAGGATGCTTCAGAAGCAGGCCACATGAAATTTGAGGATAAAATTGGCATATGATGTGTGTATTGCCTTACAAGATCCATGTTCAGCTGTTTAGTCAAATTATCTTGTTCCGTGAAGTCAAATTATGTGTCCTTTTTGGTGTAGATTGAAGGACTTTAAACTGATGGTAACTTGTAGGATGGCAAAGTTTGAAGTTTGACACATATAAATTAGGGGCTATTCGGTTTGTTTTTTGTTAAAACCTGTATGGATATAGTTGTCTGTATATTAACAGATAAGTTGTTGTTCGGTTGTTGGGCTGAATAAACAGTCTGAATGTCAAAAATGACCATTTTACCTCCGGTCTTTATTTTTGTGTATCAATTTTATTACATGAGTTATCCATAACAAGAACAAGTAGATCAAATGAAACGTAAATTCAGAATATAAAGTTATTCGATTGTTGTACAATTTATAATTCAACAGTTCTCCATAGCAAAGACTGCTGTACAATTTATAATTCAACAATCCAGAAAAGGTTTGATTTTGATATCATAAAACACATAAATTCTTATAAATTTGATGATTTTTTCTAATAATATTTCTTATACATTGTAATTTTCAATTGATATTTAATTATTTACTAATTTTTACATGTTATCTATGTTTTTTTTTACTTTTTAACATGTTTTAAACTAATAATTATAATMTTTAATTATTTRAGAAAAWTATTATTTRATTAGTAACCCAAATAATTAAATAATTCAATTAAATTGAATTTCTTATTATTTTTTATAATGTTTATAGAAGATTTTTATGATTAAAACATATTTTAGTTACGGGCTATTAATTAAAACAAACTTGGGGGAAAAGATGGAAATGGTAGATTTGGAATAAATGGTTGTATAAGTGGCTGAATCCATAGGACTCCTCTTTTTTGGTTGACCGGTTAAGCCATCGGCTGACCGAATAAGCCAGAAGCGAACAACAATATATGGATGACCGAATAAGCCATACAGGCTTAACAGCCCATTAAACCATTACCGAACAGCCCCTTAGTAATGTTATGTACAATCTAGTAGATAATTAAAAATGATCTAAAATGATAGCATTGAAACATTAATTGGAAAGATAAGGAATATAATTGAAACAGCTTATGTTTTTTTTTTATAAAAGCACTTATCAACATATTATAAGTTAGAAATGTTTAACTTCTTTAAAAACTCCTTATTACTGGTTTGATACCGGTATAAGTTGTTTATCCAAATAATTAAAAATGCTTATTACAGATGAAATACCAGAATAAGTCAATATATTGTTTGTATAAACAATCCCGAACACCCCTAAGCAGGGTCAAAATGAGTTGCCTTCCTTGTGATTGCGTGTTAGACACAATTGACTAAGCTATTTTATCTTAACATGTTTGATATCAAGTTTGTACATTGTTTAGTATATGATTTGATTTAACTGAAATGGCAAATGGGTATTTGTTTTTTAAGAGATTATGCTTCAAAAGATCGATTGCATGAAAATAGCAAAATGAAACACTTATTTTAGAACGAACATCAGAAATAAATTATAATCGTGTGGCTACAAATACAACAATAAATACATTAAAATATTATTTACACAACAAAAAAATAATATAAAATATTTAACTATAAAAGAATATGTTATATTGAAAACAACCCAAACTATCTATACTATCTTATAAAACATTTGGTTAAAACTCTTAAAAACTCTTAAATCCGTTCATCATTATCCGATTTCATTCCATATCTGAATTCGTGTAACTAACTGCAGATAAACACAATCAAATACATGATAAACATTTCATTTTAAATATAAAAAATATAAATAATTAGTATAATCATTAAATTCTAGCAGAATACTTAATTATTATCTTTATAAAATTTATAGTATTAAACAAAAAATAAATTGTTTTATTATTAAACTTAAATTAAATTATATAAAAAAATATATATTTTATATTATAAATCATTTGACAAAAACTCTTAAAAACCACTTTTTATGCGTAAAGTACTGTTTATTAATGCATATTACTTAAAACCCAAGATTACAAGTAAACTGTGCATAGGTACAACTTATTAAAGCTCCATATCTGAATTCGTGTAACTAACTGCAGATAAACACAATCAAATACAGAATAAACATCTCATTTTAAGTATAAAAATCTAAAATATAATTAGGATAATCATTGAGTTCTAACATAATACTTAATTATTATCTTTATAAAATGTTATATTATTAAACCAAAAATAAATTATCTCATTATTAAACTTAAATTAAATTATAAAAAAAAATCTATACTATATTATAAAGCATTTGACAAAAACTC